ATCATATGATGATATGATTGCAGTTCATTTTTGTAATGTTTTTTCTAAGATAGTGATATACAATTTTATGTTAGTTTGAGATGTTATCTCCAGACTTAGTTATTATTTTTGAATGTTTTGATATTTGTACAATATACTCATGGTTTCTTAGTGGCTCGTTTATATATTGTAAGGTCCTAAAAATTTATTGATAATTATTTAAATATTAATACCGTCCGACAACAATTCTTGACTTGGCCAATTCGAAGCTTATCAAATTGGGACGTGACATTCAACACATTCTTTATTGACTTCATCTGACATTTCCTTACGTGCTCCAACATTTATCTTGCAACAATCAAGTAAAATTCAAGTAGCTTAACATTAACAATAATTTGCTTAACCAAAAATCTGCATTTTAAGTAAACATCACTTATATTTACCTTTTCCTAACACTTCAACTTGAGCATCATACTTCTAAGACATTTTTTTCTAGTGTCGCCGCCCATTCAAATAAAATAATAATAATAATATCATTTAAAAAAAAAATAGTGAACTTAATAGTGTTATAGTTATTAATTAAGGAAGTTCAAATATAAAAGAAAAAAAAAATACAAATGAAATAATTATAAATAAAACATTAGAGTGTCTCATGTAATACTTAAATATAGGACGTGCACAAGATTTAAATAAAATTCATGCCAAGCATAAAGCAAGGTTCTTTGATTAGCATTACTAAAAAAATTAAAAATTAAGAGAATAAATGATTTTAATACAATTTTTTTTTTATATGAAAGAAGTTTTCTTAGATGCCTTACAGTATATCAAATTAGTATTACAATTAATTAAGGAAGTTCAAATATAAAAGAAAAAAAAAATACAAATGAAATAATTATAAATAAAACATTAGAGTGTCTCATGTAATACTTAAATATAGGACGTGCACAAGATTTAAATAAAATTCATGCCAAGCATAAAGCAAGGTTCTTTGATTAGCATTACTAAAAAAATTAAAAATTAAGAGAATAAATGATTTTAATACACTTTTTTTTTTTTATGAAAGAAGTTTTCTTAGATGCCTTACAGTATATCAAATTAGTATTACAATTTATCAAATAAATTTAAAATGAATCTGCATTAACATTACAACTAATATCTTTTTTTTGAAACTTACTAAAATATAAAGCAACTATCAAGCAAATTTGGGCAAGTGATATTTAGCATTTAATAAAATTTGAGCAAATTTACAACAACAACAACAACAACATCAAAGGAGCATAGAACTACCCCTAGACCAAACATACAGAGATGATCATAACAAAAGAAAACACGAACCTTTCCTCATGTGATGATGGACAAATGCATATTTTTAACAAAAATAATCTTAAAGAAACATGCAAAAGAATTACTACGAATCTTATTACCCATAAGAGGAACCCTATAAAAAATAAATTTATATTCAAGCAAGCAAATATTGAGAAAGACAAAAGCAAAAAAAGAAGAAGACACATAAAAGAGGATGATTAAGGTTGACAAAAGGAAGACTCCGACGACGTAGAAGAAGGTGATGCACGGCAGAGATGCTCCGATGGATCTACACTACAAGATTTCAGCGAAAGGGCTTGAGACAACATGAAATTGAAGCTAAGGCACTTCAGCAAACAAGCTCAGGACAATACTCAACATATTAAATAAGCAAAGAACCCAAACAGAACTCTAACTCTTAATCTCTATTGTGATGAGTCGTTGGTGTGCCTATTATATAATTATATAATACTAGTTAAAATATATCAACAAAATAAATACATAATTTAATATTATTAAACAAATGAGTGCTGCCTCAAGCGCCTCGAGGCATTTCAACTCAAAGTGTATGCCTTGCCCGTACTAATGAGGCTTCAGCCTCAAGGCGCATGCCTCAAAAACTTTTTTTAAACAATGATAAAACTTAGTGAAAAATGATCTTTTAATTTGAAATACAATAGTCGTTAAGATCAAGGTTTTAAAAGGCATTTCTGAGGTGTGCCACTATGCAAGGCATGAGCCATATCACCCCAAGCAGATGAGGGAAGCACAATCCTCACATGGCGTACACCTTAGCATGCTTTTGATGCCAATGAGCTTAGTTTACGCCCCACGGAGGCATGCGCTCTGATATTAGATTAAAAAAAAGGAAATAAAACCCTAACTTCCCTAACATACCCGAATTGCGCCTCTCCCGCAACAAAAGACCTTCCACAGCAGAAGAACCAGTTGGCATCTCTCACACAGCAGAAGATCCCGCAACCACTTCCTCCTATATTGTCTGCTTCGTTTCTTGCATGCAACGTGACCATCAAAAGATACCGCAATCTCGGATGCAGCGTCTACTTCGTCCCTCGCACACGTGACCAGTAGGTTGTAGAAGATCCTACAAAGCCTTTCACACGTAGAACGACTACTTCGACAAACTCAACCAGATTTTATTTTGTAAGCACTAAGCACGTGGGTGTTAATGTTTTATAAGGAATTAATCGCATATTTCACTGTAGCAACAACAGGTTTACTGTAGCAACAATAATTTCACTGTAGCTACAATAAAATCGGCAAATTTGCATTGATTTTGATCTAATATTTTTGTTAGTTTTGATGTGTAGTGTTAGTTATTGATTTATAAAGGAATGGGGATTGTATAACCGATAGTAGTTGCACCAGCAAGAATGACTTTGCATAGCAATGTACAATAAGCACATCCAATAAAAAGTATTTCATATGTAAGTTTTGCAATCAAGTGTCTTGTGAAACAATAAACAAGATGAAGCAACATCTTGCCGAAAGACACAACATTTAACCATGCATTAAATCCCCTCCGAAGTTCAAGAGAAATGCAAGAAAATTTTAGAAGAATATGCAAAATCGAAACACAACTAACAGTGTACAAAGCTCTCAAAACTATCGTGCAAAAGCTACACAAAGACACGTTTGGTTACTTGCTCTGGCGCTCCTCGCCCCCACTTGAAAGACAACAACAAAGAATGAGCAAAAACATGCTTAAAAAAATAATCATGGCTAACATAAGATTTTATAAATAAAAAATAAACGTGTCTGCTCGTATGAAATTGTACATGTCTACACACAAGTCATAACATGCTAGTATAATATAATACATGAAAAGAGAACAAGTAGTATAAAAATCAAGACTATAATATAAATACGTATGTGATAAGCATGAAATCACAAGTATAATCAAAAACATATTCATAGGCATGTTCACGAGCATTTTATCGCATGTAATCATAGCGATGTCATTTCATAGAGATCATTTCATAATAATATCACTTGTTTAATATATAGGACTCAATTATTTATGTATTCTTTCATCATATGTCGTGGCACTGCCCCAAAGGTTATATTAACTATCGATAAATATTGAAATTTTCTCAATATAACAGTTATCAATAGCTTCATGCACCCACAATTACCAGAGTTTCGCCCCCATATAAATATCAAGAGTCGGGAATACTACATCCCTACAAAGTGTACTTGTCAGTACTCATGTAAAAGACATTTAAATCATCATTCCTGCATCAAGCATTTATAAGACACTACATGTATCATAGGCATGAAACATAACAAATGAATATATGAGAGCAATTAATATCATAAGTATAGTCATGTATCATAGTATGAGCATAGCATCACATGTATCGTAAGAGAAGTAAACATGCATTCATACATTCAATTGCAGGTATCCATTTACAATATGCAGAAAATTCTAAATATATTTGTGTTAAACTAAAAATCATATGAAACCTATAGAAGATTATTGTTCTTAAATTAGCACAAAATTATTTCATCTGACTTTACAAAACAGCCCTACGGCGAGTTCACATGCGCTCGTCTCGAACTCGCCGCCTTGTATAGACAGCCTGGGAATTCATAAGCATTGTAGAATTTTATAGAATTTGGTCCCCATCATGACTAACATAAAAACTAGCATTAAATGTCAAAACATACCTTAAAAGGGTTTCTCAACATAAATTTATCCTTCCCGAACCACTTATATATCTTCCCAATCCTTCCTAACACCTCAAACCTTATTTCTCCTCAATGATTTCGTGCTAAAACATTTTCAGAAGCTCACAAAATCATTTACGACACTTCCACCACAAAATTGGCGCCTCAAACGGCTACCAAAAATGAGAAATGCAAGAAAAACAAAGCAAACTTCAATACATAAGGGTAAGGAAAGAAAAGAATGTCTCAATTAACATGAGAGAAAGATTCGTGCTTACAGAAATTGCCCCCGAACCCCGAATCATGTTCTACGGAACTCGATTGCCTGCAGATTCTCGCCTGCTACAGTGCAGGGTTGTGGGTTCCTCACTGTCGAGTGAAATCAAACAGGAATAAGAGAAAAAATGCGACATTTGAGGTAATCTCAATGGATCTCTCAATCCGTGGCTGAGAATTGTGAAATAAGTCGACTAAGAACAGTCAGGCTACAATATTAAGGGAGGGATTGGGATTAAATAAAGTTTAATTAATTTAATTATACTTATAACTTCAACATTTTAAATCTCTTAATCCGTTAATAATTCATGATAGTGCTTTATATGGAATTCATCGATTTCAAGCATAATTTTTTATAAAATTGTTTCGATCGAATTCCGAGAGATGAAAAAATTAGGATGTTTTTCCAAATTGCCGAACTTACTTGATTTCTAAACTTTTGGGCGTTACAGTAAGGAAGCTTAGTAAGCATTTAGTTTTGCTGATTCTGATCACAAAAAGTTAGAGAAGGTAATGGCCATGCACTGATACATAAGTACACAGTTTCGAATGAGAATAAAACTCCGCTGTCAGCAGCCCTTTGATGTCAAAATAATATCAGTAGCATCTTTTGACATCATTTTGACCATAGAAAATTAAACGGAGAAAAAATTCTTTGAAATATCACAAAATAATAAACGTGCATTCAAAGCAATAAATCTTCCAAAAAAAATAATCTCTTCCATAATGTAACATTAACATTTACTGACCTTTTCATCAATCCACATCAAGGAACTGAGCTGGTTATTCAATATGTGGACAGCAGCATCAATCGGAGTCATACTATCATCCAAATCCACGCTACCTCCCTAAACAAAGCAATAAAGTGATGAGGCATTAAAATAATGTAGCTCATTTGACCCGTCAGGAATGTACCTGCTTGGAATTAAAAGCTTGGATTATAGCTTTAATTTGCTCCGCCATCCGCTCCATTTCCCTTAGAATAAACTCTGCCTTCTCAAACCTGTGATTTAAAATTTAGCACGACCTTAGAGAGCTGAGATTAGATAAAATCCTGCATCCCAAGCACGTCATAAAATTCATCCAATAGAAGGCTTACTAAATAATTAGCATTTATATAGCCTTGAAACGTGTGTGTGTGTGTGTGTGTGTGTGTGTGTGTGTGTGTGTGTGTGTGTGTGTGTGTGTGTGTGTGTGTGTGTGTGTGTGTGTGTGTGTGTGTGTGTGTGTGTGTGTGTGTGTGTGTGTGTGTGTGTGTGTGTGTGTGTGTGTGTGTGTGTGTGTGTGTGTGTGTATCTATATATATATATATATATTTATGAACATATATATATATATATATGAACTTACATTGTATCTCTCATAGAAGCAGAATCATCTTCAAGAAGCAAGCCCTGTTCTTCTTTATATATACGCTCAGCCTCCTCCTCCATGCTTTGCAAAGCCTTGTCAACCTAAAAATACAACTTGGTAACACATGATTAAGTGCAAGTCGACAAATGAAATAAAAGGGCTATCGCCTCTTAAAAGCAAAAAAAAAGTGGAAATTAATGCATGGGCAGACAAATGAAAGATGAGTATGTAGTCTCGTCTTGCTCGAAGAAGACGGGAAGGTCGCAGCTCGTCGCCTAGTCGTGCTCGAAGAGAGTAGCGCAGAAGCAGAGCCTCATCGAGCCCCAGCGTCTCGCTTCCTACGCGCAAACATCGATCGGTTCTCCACCTTCAAGAACGAAGCTACTCGCATCCTCCCTTCCTTCGAACGACTAGGGCAATCCGCACCAGAGCAGCTCGACTAGGGTTTGGTGGGCCGGTTCTTCGCTTCAAGGCTCAATCGGTTCTCCACCATCAAGCACGAAGCTACTCGCATCCTCCCCTCTTTCGCGCTGATTCGCGCCCAGCGACGAAACTGCAGCGTGCTTCTGCGGTTTCTTCATTTCCTCCGCGCCATTTCTGTGGTTTGTGTCTTCTGCCTCGTCTAGTTGTGGTTTGCTGAGATTGCAACTGCGGTTTCGACATCTGTGGTTCGTCTTTTTTTGCTCGTCCTTTTTTGCCCTCGGCTCGACTTGCAGGGCTTTTCTTTGCTGTGATGGAGCTTCCTCCTTTGGTTGAGCCTAGTAAAACATTTTTTGCCCACATTGTGAGTAATCCTCAGGGGAGACGGCGGTTGTCTTCCCCTTAAGTTACAAGGAGAATCGTGATGGTACAGGTGACTGTCTCTTTATTAAGAATGCAAGCAGAAAGAGTGGGAATGCAGCACTATTTTTCTTTGAGTCAGAAATTTCAACCTTCACTGACAAATTCAAATTTGCCCTCATCGGAAAATTTCAGTGGGGACACCCAACTATGTAAGTTATCAGGAAAAGTTTTGATGATCTCAAATTAACAGAAAAGTAGAAAGTAGGGCTCATGGATGAGATTTTGATTCAGTTAACCGTGCATGAAGACTACACTCGTATTTTCTCCAAAAAAAATCTTAACATTGCCGGTAAACCAATGAAGCTACTCAAGTGGTCTCCTAATTTTGACCCCAATCATGAACCTCTTACTGTATTACTGTACCTTAGCTTACCTGGTCTCAAGCTGCATTTTTTTCATCATCAGGTTCTCTACTCTATTGGTGTCATACTTGGAGACCCTATGAAGCTAGATCTACCCACTTTCAACCTTACCAAACATTTCGTGGCCAGAATACCTGTGGAAAGAGATTATTTTGTCTGATGTTACTGAAGTCTGGTTTGGCACAATGCATAATGGATATTGGCAACAAATCATCATAAAGCATAGACCTTCTTATTACTCTCATTGTAAGATGTTTGGGCATACTCCTAATAAATGTCATAAGCTTCACCCTAGTTTGAAATCTAAAAATCAAGTGAATAAGGATGGTTCTAAGGATATATTTGTACCACGTGGAGAGAAAGCTATCACAAGACAGATTTTGGTGTCTGATTTTATTGTCTCTGTCGTTACTGTTACTGCGAGTGATGTGATGTTGAAACCTTCAAATCAAATTGAGAAACAATACTGATGGATAAAAGGTTATTCTTCAACAGTGGAACATGTAACAGATTCCAGTGTTACACCAGTAGTTAGAATTACCGACCTTTTATCAGCAATAAAACTACAAAATTCATCTGCAATTCTGACTGTATCTTTGTCAAAGCATGGATAGTATGTCGAAAAAGCTTCTGAGCATCTAGTCATGTGGTCTATGGCAGCTGAATCAATGATCTATGGACTAGAGAAGGTAGATGTGGTGTGATGGGAACAATACCTTGACGAATGTGGGAGGTCGATGGACCAGCTTAACTAATTGGATCCATGTAGCTTGACCAATTCGCTCTATCTGACTTTTCAGAGTGTCGGAGGATTCTGGAATGTTCCGGCAAGGAGCCGGTTGAACCGTGGTAAACTTTGATGTCGTATTGAGGCCCTTTGCAATAGAGGTTTGGGCCGAAGGTTTGTGTGTCCATTTTCGTGGAGCTTCCAACACTTATAACGAGTATGGTTGGGTTTATAACAGTAATCACAAGTAGGGTGACCTAACCGGGGTAGCATGGCAGAGGGTTAGGCACTATTAGAGAACAAGGCGGACGATTTGGTTGAAGGAAAAAAAGTGTTGAGCATGACAAGTCTCTGGCTTTCTTTACGGTGAATCTCGGTGAAAGCAGCGCGAGCGAAAGACAGTCTCCCGACCAAGAATATGGCCCCAGACTTCGTCAAGTTCTTTTTTGAGGCCTGCCGGGAATTAAAATATGCACTCTTTTTCTACAATCTTCTGAAAGAGAGAGATCAACTAGAGAATTCCAAGTGTGGTCGTAATACAGGTTGCATTTCATCCACAATGCCTCCATATCATTATAATACTGGGTCACGGTCTTTGATCCCAATTTTGCCTCTCGGATCTTCCTAAAGAACTCATAGAGTTGGTCGAAGTTCCCTGCGTCCGAGTAGGTATCACGGATTGTCATCCAGAGGGCACTAGCGGATAGGAGGAACATATATGAATGGTCAATTAATGTTTCCATGGAATTGATCAGCCATGACATGACCATAAAGTTCTTCACTTCCCAAGCTTAATAAGTTGAGTTAGTCTTTGGAGGCTCACAGGTCATACCTGTGAGGTGATTGAGTTTTTCGCGTACTTTCATGAACAAAGACACTGCTTAGGACGATTGGAAAAAGTTGTCGTCGTTCAATTTATAAGTTGTGATCAAGAAATTCAAGTTCGTAGTCCCCCAGTCTGCAGAGGAACGAAATTTTGAGTCGATCCTATGGTGGAATCAAGGGCTCCTTTGGATATTGTTTTGGTGTTGGAGGAAACCGCGATGATTCCGACTGAGTCAAAGGAGATGTGGTTGGGATTCCAAGATATTGACGGGTTTCAAAGGGTCACCGACTGAGGATAAACTTGTAGTTAACATCGCAGCCGAAGGAAGCCTGAAGGGAAGCCTGTAGGGAGGACATGCAGGGACAGCCATCGGGATTCTCCACCACAGGCAAACCGGGAAGGACCTGCAAGAATAGGGGTCTTGCTTTAGGGAAGGGAAACAACAGGGACAGTCGGCGGGATTCTCCACCACAGGGAAGTCGGGAAGGACCTGCAGGGACAGTCATTTTTGTTGCAGGGAAGGGAAGTCGTAGATAGGACTTGCACTTGCAAGCGGCTGAAGAGGACGCCGACGGCTACGAAACCGTGCAGGGAAGGTCGGCGGCAGCTGGAGGGGTGTTCAGCGGCTGCATAAGTGGCTCTGATACCATGTTGAATTTGTGAATATAGTAGCTTAAATTTTATTGATATAAATGAGGGATATATATACTCAATTACAAGGACACTCACAAGTAATAAAAACAAAATAAAGAGAAATAGAAAGAAAATAAAAACATAATAAAGAAAAATAAGAAGGGAACAATGCACCTCTCCGCTATAGTGGAAAAAATTACGTCGAGGCGTACACCTGAGCTATATTGAGGTGTGCAATAAGCCTCAGATTTGATGAGGTGCATGCCTCATATTTCAAATTCTATATTTACACGCGCATACATGTTTCGTTCCAACTCGCAAGCCTCCAATCTCCCTCTCACACCCATGTTATGAGCCTAGAAACACTGCCTACTACACTACACGATGTTGCTGACACCAACACCAACACCTTCTGATACTCCAAACACTAATGTTGACCCAGCCACATGTTGCTTCGTTTACAACTCAATTATAGACCTGCAGCTTGATATTTCACATATTGCAACCACACCACCGCCTCCCCCTTACTGCTCTCGAGATAACTACCCACTGCACCGACCGACCTTGCCACTACTTAATCCAACTATCCTGAATGTCGCCACAATCAACTACAACTTGTTGTTGCACTACTACAGCCACGCCATTGCCTCGTCTTGTTGCTCTCTGGGTCACGACAAAAACCTCCTACTACACCCTTCAAGTATATTATTAATTACTTTAGTGGAATTTTTTAAAGCTCCAATGAGCATATTAATAGGTCGGAAGTTTTTTTAGGAATGATTCGTTGACACCTTTTTAGGGAAAAAACAAATGAAAATTGAGCTCATCATGTTTATAAATGCCTATCAATATGCCTTCATGATGCAATTTATTTCTTTATTAAATTTTATGTTTGCAAACACAAATGCTCTACAAATAGATAGGTGTTTTTTTCTTTATCGATACAGGCAATTTTTGTCAATGTATATATCCATATAGAAATAGAAATTTTTAGTTCATTTTACATCCACCAAACATACCCACAACATCGAGATTGCCCTAATATTATATTCTTCAAGTAGTTTATCCGGTGTTCCACCATTGTATTCTTGTTTCATAACCTAAATGAAAACTTCAGCAATACAAATGCTAATACCATTCTTTAGTCACTCGAGTAGACTATCATGAAGCATAACTTGGAATTTGAACATATTATTTTGAACCATAGGATTGTTGTAATGCCTTGAAATTTGTTTGTAATTTAATATTCTTTAAACATATCCCCAAGTCTCAATCTTTTCCTAGGTTATGTAAGTAGCCCTTTTTTTGTTTGTAATTATGCGAGAAAATAAAACTATTTTTTATGATAATTTCATAAACTTTAATGAATATAATTTTCCATTGATGCTATTTTCTTATAGAACTCCCTTACTTGTACTTTAGAGTTCTTCTTTTAGAGAATATTGACATTGCATTTTATTTGAAAATTTACACGAGTTTCATACTTCCAATTTATTTAAATTTTAAAATAATATTTTCATTAAAGGCTTTTCAAGTTTTGTGAGAAATACTTAGATGCAAGAAAAAATTACATTGGGTAAGGCATAGTGTGCAAGTTAATGTTGGAGGCAATGATAAAACACATGTTTACTAGAAATACAATTATAGTGCCCGCAATTAAATGAGATGTTACAAGGATAAATAAGCACTTCTTTTGCTCACATAGAAAAT